TCTTATCTTATCTTATCTTATCTTATCTTATCTTATCTTATCTTATCTTATCTTATCTTATCTTATCTTATCTTATCTTATCTTATCTTATCTCACACAGACACTTTTATTAACAAACAGAACAGATGTACAAGAACAAATTACTCAGAAATAAGTTATGAGCATTCATTAAATAATAATGCTCCATAAATAAAAGAAAACAATGTTGTTTTTGTGCATAACAAAGAGCTCACAACTGAGCAGTCAAAATGTAAACTAACAGACGCTGAGCATAATCACAAAGATTTCACAGCTGCTCTGTTCTGAAGTTCTGCTGCGTGACCGACAGCCTGGAGTTTGAAATCCGCTTCGTGTCTCTGAACAGCAGCCGTCTGTGGTCCTTATACGCACACAGTACGGTAACATTACGCTGAAACACAGTACGTATCACTCCGAGAGGCTCCTCGGCTAGTGATGGTAAATTTGATTCTTTTTACTGAATCGAGTTTTAATGAGTCACTCACCAAAGTGAATCGGGTTTTTTCAGTCATTTGATTCACTGAGTCAAATGACTCAGTGTCAGGTAACTGACACGCAGCGCCGCAGTGTTGTTGTGTTGACGTGTTACTGTGTTGCATTGCTGTATGTGTGTTTCAGAACAATGTGTGCTCGTGTTCAAAGCGCGTCTCACCACGCCGGACTCCGATCAGCAGCTGAGCTCAGGGGTTGATCCCTGGGCCGATGTGGAGACTCGGCCTGAATTTAAAAGGCAGAATGTGATGTCAGACATTTTTGGGTATTTAGTGTGAGCTGCTGAGGGACACGCTTCAGATCACCATGACAACGCGTTCATTTCACGCTTTAATCACCTGCAGTGAAGACACAGCGTGTTCGTCACAGGTGTGTTGCATTTTTTTAGCGTTTTAAGACTCGGTCGCTCAGCAGTCCACTGTGTGTCAGACACGCTGTGAGGAAGCAGCAGGAACAGGACGCTGTGGTCGTGGACGCCGCCGACATCTCCGTCAGACAGGACGCTGTGGTCGTGCAAACCGCCGCCGTCTTCCTGAGACACTTTCTGAGATTTTCTGTGATTTCAAATAAAACCTTGAAACTGCCGCTGGTCATCCCAACGTCGCACACTGGAAGGTGGTCGAGCTCAGCCGGCGATTTAGGTGACCGAGGTTCAGGGACGCCCCTGCCTGTGATGGGGTCTCGCCCTGTTTCCTGTTCCTCTGCAGCAGCGCCGTAGGTGCTTCAGAGAAAGTGCTGATCCCAGGGCTGTGAGTGTGACGGCGTCAGAGCTCAGCCGTGATGAATGAGACGAAACTGCACAGACCCAGAAAACACACAAACCGCACTAACAGAGGGTCACGCAAACACGGCGAGGCTCGATCAGACGCCCTTTGACAGGTCGGACCTATTTACCCGCCTGTCGTTTTCTGTGCTTGTCGGGACCATTTGAAGGGCCTGAGGTCAAAGGTCATCAGGAATCATCAGTGAAGGAAGCGGCTGTAGGAAAGGACACGCTCAGAGTTGCCGTGGTTTCAGGGTCCGCAGGTCTGCTGATCAACGCAAACGCTTCATAACTCGCTGCTGAGCCGGCGGCGGCTCTAAGATGTTTTTCACGTCGTGCGCTCATCATTTCGATCTGTGCAAGAATCGCCCAGCACATTGCCGTCGCTGTGGCGAAGAGTGGTGGGGGTATCTCAGCCTGGTCTCATCCTGCTGCAGCCAGAGCTGCAGACCAGCGTGTGAACCGGACCGCCACAGGAAGGAGGAGGCCAGGTGCATTACTTACCTGCAGGAGGGCCGGCTTGCAGAGGAAGTGTGAGAGGACAGGTGACGTCCTCCCTCTCCCCGTCTGCGGTGCACGCCATCCTGCAGGAACACGGCAACGAGCGAGCTGACTCCACAGAGCTCATCGGCTCAGCTTCTGTGGGACGTTCTGGAAAAACCATCACAGCGTCCCAGTGACCGTCAGAGGTCTGAGGGGTCTCTGCGGGTCAGGTGGAAGGCGTGAAAGGCTTCAGGGCTGTGATGTCAGAGACTGAAGCTGAGAGCTTCGTATACGACCGCGAGTCATGTGATGACGGAGACGTGAACGGCTTGCAGTCTCCCGTCCACATCAAAATGTTTCGATGAATGTCAGCGTCCCTACTGAGATGGAGGACGAGAGAGTGACCTTTGTGACATGTCTAAAGTGCCAAACAGCAGCCGGGTGGTTGCAGTTAGAAACACTCGTCCGACAGGTGAGACCCAAGCAGACGTGGGCTGGTGCCGCTCCGCCAGGTGTTGCGGTGCAGGTAAAGGTGTGCAGACAGCAGTCTTTCCTCAGGATCAGCAGCCAGTGCTGCTCCGGGGGAGACGCTGATATTCAAGAGGCTTTGTGAGTGCTCCTTTCTCTGATTTTTCTCCTGTTACTGAAACGCTCTGACCTCCTCGCCTCGCTGTCAGCCAGCCCTGGACATCTCCTAAAAATATCTTGGAAATCGAATCATGTGAAACCAGAGTCCTGCTTTCAGCCTGTCCTCCACCCGCCTGCCTCTCCTCTGCTCCGTCCTGTCCACATCCATCACGGCGAGGCCTCGTTAGCGTCACCGTGTCTGCGCTCACGCAGACGAGACCGCTTCAGCCAACGAGCCTCCGTTTATGCACTCGTGCCTTAATGGTGTTCTCGTAAAAGCATCAAAGGTGATTTACGGTGTTGAGCACAAAGTGTTGGTCATGTGACAGATCTGCAGAAACATTTGAAACTGTTCACACCCTCAATTTATTACAACAGCCAATCAGAGAGAGTCTACTGAAGAGAGGGCGAGCTGGGGAAATGGTCCGGCCCAGACTGCCAGCTGTTCCTAAAAAGGGCCGTCACCCACCCGACTGAAAGGATGGAGATTTGATTTGTGGATGCTGCGATCGTGTCCTGACTGGAAAAGGCAGATTGTGGATCGTTGAACGCTCTCTGGCAGACGTTATCACGTTTCCCTGCGAATAAACAGTGAAGCAGACTTCCTGTGGTGTGAAATGTGACTCCTGCTAGGAGGAGGCTGGTCTCCTCATTCCCCGAGCTGACCCTCCTCCTCTGTTTCCAGGACAGCTGTCACTGAACCCGGTCTGCACGCACTCTTTATTTGAAATGTTTATGAGCGCAGACACCTGCAGGGCCACCACGCCGGACCCTCGCCTACTGCGGGCAGCTGGTGGTGAGCTTTCATGTCTCCTGTGTGATGCACCTGTTTGCCTGCTTGAGGAGTGCAGTGTCCTAATGAGATTTGTCAGTCTTCCTAATCTCTGATTTATAAGCCGTGAGATGAGGTGATGTGGTTACCAAGCAACAGCTTTCAGCTTCCAGGTCCAAAAACAGATGTGAACCTGCAGTATGTCAGAGACAGACCCCACATCCAGCTGTCAGGTCGCCAGAGGAACACGAACACGTAAACACACGACTGCACAAAGGCCGAACTCGGCGCCAAAACATGACGCACTCACAGGGGGGCGGGGCCATGACACATCCATCCAGCCTGCCAAACATAGGGTAGACCCTGCAATAATACATACAGAGAAAAACCCAGCAATCATATGACCCCCTATGAACAAGCACTTTGGCGACAGTGGGAAGGAAAAACTCCCTTTTAACAGGAAGAAACCTCTGACAGAACCAGGCTCAGGGAGGGGCGGGGCCATCTGCTGTGATTGGTTGGGGTGAGAGAAGGAAGACAGGATAAAGACATGCTGTGGAAGAGAGACAGAGGTTAATAACAGATATGATTCAATGCAGAGAGGTCTGTTAACACATAGTGAGTGAAGAAGAAACACCCAGTGCATCATGGGAATCCCCGGCAGCCTACATCTATTGCAGCATAACTAAGGGAGGATTCAGGGTCACCTGGTCCAGCCCTAACTATATGCTTTAGCAAAAAGGAAAGTTTGAAGCCTGATCTTGAAAGTAGAGATAGTGTCTGTCTCCCGAATCCAAACTGGAAGCTGGTTCCACAGAAGAGGGGCCTGAAAACTGAAGGCTCTGCCTCCCATTCTACTTTTAAATACTCTAGGAACAACAAGTAGGCCTGCAGAGCGAGAGCGAAGTGCTCTAATACTGATACATTTATGTTATCTGGCTTCATGGATAGATAACTCTTGGTGTCATCTGCGTAGCATATCCATCCATATATCCAGTATGGATGGATATGCTACAGTAATTTGCCATTAAATGAACTGGTTTCTCGCTGTCCTTCTTCTACCACCAGTCCATCTACAGTCAGCCAACACTGTCTGCCGACTCTGATTTCCATTAAAAGTTTAAGGTACAGAGTTTGAATTTATATGATGAGTGTTGTGAAATGTTAGCTTAAAGAACAATATATCAAATACGTTTCAAGGTCTTCTTGAAAAATGGCCGCCAGCCCACTTTCACACCATTTTTTCCACACATTGAAATCTGACGGAGTGCTTGAACGTGAAAATCTCAAAAGCTAAAAAAGCTCAAATTCAGGGACTTTTGACAACAACTCCAGCTGCTCTCCAGAGTCCGTATTCAAACACACACGAGTGACAGATGGTGGTTTTTTACATTTTGAGTCACATAAATTAAGAAAACTACAT